TTTTTTGTACATTTATTTATACCCCGCGGTATGTGCGGCATGGTGACCTGAAGATACACGGAACAAAGTAACTAAGATCAAGTTGCCAACAAGTGTGAAAGCGACACAGGGGAGGCAGTAAATGCGAAAGCAAAACCGGTCGTTCGGGTAGACAACTACATGACAATGTCCACATCACCATCATGCGCCTTCGAAGATGGGCCAGCGGTGGGAGAGCTGATCGTGCCTGCACTGAGTAGATCGGTGTTGCGGGCTGCCGGAGGTCGGTACTCGGCCCACTTTGGGCACTGGATCGAGTTCGCGTGGTGGAGACCACGACAGTTGATGCACCGCGAGTGCAGGCAGAGGTCGGAGGCAGCGCGATTCTCCTTCGCGCATGAGGTGCATCGAGAATGATGCGAGTCTTCATGATGACGGCCAGCACACACACGGCAGCGGAGCAGTCTGGTACACCCTTGGGAGAGGTGACCGTACGCCCAGCACCTCGTGCACTGTCGGAGACGGGGCTTCTCGCGCCAGCGCGACGTAGTGACGGGTGCGCCGAAAACGAAGAGGGGGGTGCGGAGGAGGGTGGCGAGAGCGGCGCCATCCGGGTCCTCAAAGCCGAGGACGACGGATGAGCGGGCCCCGTCGATGAGCTCAGGTCGACGTGCCCAGCGCGGAGGTTGGGTGATGGCGAGGCGCTTGATGGCCGGGTTCTTAAGAAGCTTCTCTGACAAAGCAGAGGGAGAGTGGACCTCGGCACTGGGGGAGGTCCGGGTGTACACGTTGCCGATGAGGACGCGCGACCACTTGCTATCCCTGGAGATAATCTGGTCGGCACCTATTCCAAGGGCGAGGCAGATGGTCGGGAGGTGGGCGTCGATGCGGGCATGAGAGGTGTTGGGCGGGAATACGAGGACGAGGTTGCCGGCGGTGCTGGGGTAAGCAGCCAGAGCGGTGAGGCCCTCCACGGTTGGGATCAATGCCAGAGCCCTGTTAACGTCGGCCAGCGTGACAGCAGGGGGGGTTGAGATGAGGCGTTCGGGCATCTTGCCCGACCAACGAACCACATACCGGATGGGCGCAGGAGCACGCTTAGGCGCAGGTGCGCGCTTGGGCTCGGGAGCCTTGGGGCGGGATGGAGGGTCCGGCGCACGCGCGGAATCAGCCAGGTGCGAGGAAGCAACTGCCGTCGCATAAGACCGCTGTTTGGCGGCCTTCTTCTGAGGTGGGACCGGGTCGCGAGCAGCAGATGCCGGCGCAGCAGTGCCCTGACTCACACGCGCCTCAAGGGCGGTGAGCTGGGTTCCCAGGTCGTCGCGAAGGGTGGTGATGGCAGCGGCAACGTCATCCACTGTGGGCTGCGAGGCGGAGGTGGCAGGAGGGGGGTGGAGTCAGGTGGACAGACCGTCGTAGAGGGCCGCATTAGCAGGTATGGAAGCCATGAGAGGGTCAGCGGGGTTCAGGCGGTGGAACCACCCTGAGATCTCGTCGAGGACCGTGGTGACCATTTCCATTGTGCTCACCATCTGACCGGCAGGAGAGCCGGATAGTCGTGCGCGCATGGCAATGTCTGAGATGCAGAGGGTGAGGGGCACGGAGCGAACGAGGAAGGGTGCAGAAGATGAAGGCCCGGCAGGCGCCATAGGCGCCCGCTGAGATGGTGGTGGTTGCGGTTCAAGAGGCATGAGTGTGCAGGTGCGGCCAACAATTGCAGGATCGGCAAATGACAGTGTGGGCAGCCAATATCGAGCCTTGGGAAAGGAACTAGGGTTGTGTGGGAAGGAAAGGCTGTATTTGAAAGGGGCTCCAAGCGTGGGATCGTCGGACTTGATCGCAAATGTGTTTTGATCACAGCGAGGCAGAGCGGAGCTGATCATATATAGAATGCTGATTGGAGGATGGCGGGGAAGCTCGGTTAAGTCCGATGTGCGAAGATCCTTGGGCCAACTACTATATTTGGGATGAAACCCACGGTCTAAGGCTAGAAATGACCCGGAGCTGATCGGAAATGCGATATTGTCGCAAGAAGGCGGGTTGGACCTGATCGTATATGCATTTCTGATCGGAGGGCATCGGAGCGCCGATGGCTAAGCCAATGGGAGCGAGGCCTCAAACAGGTTCTGAGGAGTTTTGGGAACGTAGGGCTGAAAGGGGTAACTGAGTGACATAGCGTGGGAGTGTGTTGGAATATCTTCGGTTGCTCGGTGGGCTAGGCCTGATGATGTAATGATGATGAAGTGCGCTGTGATTGGTGCTGGGACTTAGCTGAAACTGCGAGAATGCACCTAGTGATCGTAGCTAAGGCAATAGAAAAGAGCTGCTGGCCGAGAGACGAAGTGCTGAGACGTAGGCTGTGGGCTAGGAGACTCGAGCTCCTCCCAATTTGATTGTTTTGGTAT